AAAAAAAAAAAAAAATGTTTAGAATTCAGGGCAGTGTGCATTAGGTGTAAAAGAAGGCTTTTGCCTTTTATGTGACGCTGCTTCCATTTTCCATCTTTGTGCTGTCTGCTGCTGGTTTTTAATGTGGACTCTAGAATAAAGTGTGCAAAAACTTAATTTCTGCTTGTCACTCTTTGCCAACCAGCTGGGATGCAGTCTATGTATCTTGCCAAATAATGAGATAACTACAGCATACGCTCTGAATTTATGTGACTAGTTTTGGCAGCTAATACATTTTTTTTCAGTTGTGTAAGTTGGAGGGATTTTTTTTTTTTTTAGAGACAGTCTCACTTTATCGCCCTTGGTAGAGTGCTGTGGCATCACAGCTCACAGCAACTTCAAACTCCTAGGTGTAAGCAATTCTCTTGCCTCAGCCTCCCAAGTAGCTGGGACTACAAGTGTCTGCCACAACTCTTGGCTATTTTTTTGTTGCAGTTTGGCCAAGGCTGGGTTCGAACCCACCACCCTCCGTATAGGAGGCCTGTGCCCTGTCTACTGAGCCATAGGCGCTGCCTGAGAGGGATGATTTTTGTCAGGAACTTTGATTTAGAATTGAAGGTGATTTTTTTCTTTTTTTTGCAGTTTTTGGCTGGGGCTGTGTTTGAACCCACCACCTCCAGCATATGGGGCCAGCACCCTACTCCTTTAAGCCACAGGTGCTGCCCGAATTGAAGATGATTTTTAGAAAGAGAGATGAATTGTCCTATTACTGAAAGGTTAAAGTAGGCCAAGAACTTGTGACCTAAGATGAGATTGTCATCGCTCATTGGATAAAGTGCAAGTGATAAATGAGGATTATTTTTTAAAAGCCTTGGAAAGGATAGTATTAGCAAGTTACTTTCTTTTATTTGTTGAATATTTTGTTGTATAGAGATACCTAGGAATCACTCCTGATATCTTGTTGTATAGAGTATATTTAAGTTATACCTAAAAGTATAAGACGTTATGCTTTTTAGAGCATTTTTCATATATATTGTGTACTTTTAGAACTTAGAGCCAGGTGATATACTTCATGAATTTTTCTCATCCAGCTCTTGTGCCTTCGGGAAATGGTCCTCAACTTTCCCAGACTCTTTATGGTAGAGGACAGTGAATTTGTTTATGGGTAGTCTGGGGGTGCCTTCCATTGAACCATCCAGGTACTGTTTCAGTGTCTACAAATAAAATGGACTCACTTGTTGTCTTCTTCACATTCTAGTGGGGAAGACAATAAATTTGTGGTTCCTAAAGTTTGGGTTGCAGCCTGATAGCTGGGCTGCAGAGCAACCCCCATTGCCCTCTCAGTTTGTGGAAAAATTATCTTCCATGAGACTTAGGAATGGGGCTGCACAGTAGTGGATGGATGGAGTGAAGCAGCTTCATTTGTATTTACAGCTGGCAGCTACTCTCCATTGCTTGCGTCATTGCCTAAGCTGTGTGTAACCTTCCCCATGAAAAAATTATACGAAATGAGTCCATGGTGCCAAACAGGTTGAGGACCATTGGAATAACAAATGTGGGCAGCACCTGTGGCTCATGGGTAGGGCGCCAACCCCACATATTGAGGGTGGCAGGTTCAAACCCAGCCCCGGCCAAACTGCAACAAAAAAATAGCCGGGCATTGTGGCGGATGCCTGTAGTCCCAGCTACTCCGGAGGCTGAGGAAAGAGAATTGCCTAAGCTCAGGAGTTGGAGGTTGCTGTGAGCTGAGTGACACCACAGCACTCTAACGAGGGTGATAAACTGAGACTCTGTCTCTACAAAAAAAAAAAAAAAAAAGAAAAAATGTGTTGAATATTGTGGAAAAATATAGAGTACTGTGGGAGTGTGTAATAGGCTTATTCACCTGGTATGGGGGTGGGGGTTTGTCAGCAAGTCTGACATTTAACCTGAGACCTGTTGGTGGCTTGAGAAAGGATAGAAGTTGCAAGCCTTCGTGATGTGAATGATGAAGTAGGAGACAGCAAGAGTAATTCCCAGGTATCTCACATGAGCAACTGAGCAGATTATAATGTCACTTACTGAGATAG